GCTCCCGCCGTGTCCCCCCGGTCCCTCCCCGCTCCCGCCGTGTCCCCCCGTGTCCCCCCGGTCCCCGCTCCGCTCCCCCCGCTCACCGGCGCTCCCGGGGCCGCCCCCGCGCTCCGGCCCCGCCCGGGCCCGGCCAGACGCGTTTCCGCTGCCGGCGGGGCCGCGGGGCCGCCGGGACCTGCAGTCCCGTCACGGGCATGGCCGGGAGCGGCGACAGGACCGCCCTGGAGACCGTGAGAGGGGCCGGGAACGGCGGTCTGAGCGCCCCGGGGGCAGCGGGGAGCGGGGCGGGAGCGGGATCTGCCGGCGGGGAACGAGCGAGGAGCGGCCCCGTGTTGTGGCGGGGCAGGGCCGGGTTGGGCGCTGGGGAGGTCTCCTCGTGGGAAGGGTTATCGGGCCCCGGCGGGGGTGGAGTCCCCATCCCTGGGGGGATTCAACAGCCCTGTGGATGTGGCACTTGGGGACACGGGTCGGTCGTGGCCTTGGCAGTGCTGGGGGATGGTTGGACTCGATGGTATTGCAGGGCTTTTCCAGCCTAAATGACCCCGTGGTTCCACGATTCTGTGCTTCCCGAGCCCGGCTTAGTGGTGGGACATTCTCTCATGATTCCCGAGCCTGGCTTAGTGCAGGACACTCTCCCATGATTCCCAAGCCTGCCTTAGTGGCGGGACACTCTCCCATGATTCCACGATTCTGTGATTCCCAAGCCTGGCTCAGTGGCAGGGCACCCTCACGAGGGGCGTTGTGGCATCGCTGTCGGGACAGATGGTGACAGTGGGGGTGGCTCCAAGGGACACCCAGCTCGCAGGTCACATCCCGGGGCTGGTGCTTCATCCCAGCAGTGGGAAACAGCCCAGATCCCTGGGCAAACCACCCCCCTGCCCCACAGCCTTCCCTCTCGGACCCGTGTCCAAACCCCCCCAGGTGTCACCCCCACAGCCCCCATGGCCCAGCCCGTGGCACCGCTGGGTTTTCCCGGGGGTGGAGCAGCCGCTCCATCACCGTGTCCGTGGGCAGCAGGGATAGAGCTGAGGAGAGCGAGTGGTGTCACCTGGGACAGGAGGGACAGCAAGGAACGCACCTTCTGGCTGAACCTCTTGAAGTTCGGGTGTTTGAGGTTGTCCTGTGGGGGACAGGAGCAGATGGAGGCCAGGACTAACCTATTTTCAAACTAGTTCAGACCAGTATTTTATCCAGCAAGGTGTTGTTTTAAAGGTGTGACACCAGGCTCTGGTGGCCCTGGTGTTCTCCCTGTCACCTGCTGCAGGTGGCCGAGCCCCTGGCAGCATTTTTAGGACCCATTTTTAGGCACTGGCTGGCACTGCCCAGCTGAGGGGCTGCAGTGACCCAGTGACACTGGCACAGACTTGTGGAATTCCGTGAAGGAATCTGCCCTTCGGGGAATGTGTTGGTTTTCCATGGAAGCCTCTGGCAACAGCAGTGCCGGGGGTGAAACACCTGCCTGCAGGGAGCAGGGGCTTGGTGAGGAGCAGGGAAGCTCCTGGTCCTGCTGAGATCAGGAATTGTACCTGAGGACTTCTCCCACGTAAAGTGTGACAAGACAAGAGGGAATGGCCCCAAGCTGTGCCAGGGCAGGTTCATCAGGAGGGACATCAGGAGGAATTTCTTCCTGGAAAGGGTGGTCGGGCATTGGAAGGGGCTGCCCAGGGAAGTAGTGGAGTGCCTGTGCCCTGGCTGTGGCACTCAGTGCTCTGGGCTGGGGGACAAGGTGGGGACCAGGCACAGGTTGGACTGGATGGTCCTGGAGGGCTTTTCCAACCTCAGTGAGTCTGGGATTCTGTGACTTTCCACAGGAAAGAGGAGAGAGAACCGTGTGGAGTGGGTTCAGCACAGTGTTCCCTGCTCTGGGTGCTCACACTGTGCTCAGGAGGCAGGGACAGGGTGCTGCTCTTTGTTTGGATCTGGGATCAGATCTCCCTGCTGACAGGCAGCATTCCTCCCTGGGAATCTTTGCCTGTCCCTCTCATTCCTGGGTAGCCCTGGGATGTGATTCCTGGGATCACATCACCCCGAGCAGTCATTCCCAGCTCCTTTCCACCATGGATCCTGAAGCTGCAGCTTTCTTTGGGCTCCTCCTCTCTCCTAGGCAGGGGAGGGATGCACAGGTGTCCTGACTGGGGAGAGGTGGAATTCTGAAGCTTTCCCTCCTCTGTGAAGGTGTTTTGGTCCCACAGCAGCACCGGAGCCACAGAGGTGGCTCAGGCAGACCCAGAACCCTCTGGTGAAGCTGAGCACAGGAGCTGATCCTTTGCCCTTTGGGTGTTCCTGACCTCGGGGGGCCTTACAGCATCTCTTCTTTCCCGTTGGTGACAGATCCAGGCGGATGGGACAGATGGGAATTGTGTCACCTTCGTGCTGCACGACGAGGATCACACCCTGGGCAACTCCCTGCGCTACATGGTCATGAAGAAGTGAGTGGAGCCTCTGACAGGGCTGAGGGAACCTCTGTGCCCTGCCCTGCCCTTCTCCTCACTGATCCACACCTCAGCTGTTGCTGGAAGGAGGCAAATGATCCCAAATCCCTGTGCACACCTGTCAGAGCCTTTATGTCCCACGTGGGGCCCTGCTCCCACCTCCTACCTCTCCTCACAGGATTAATCTTTTCCTTGGGCTGGGTCAGGAACCTGAGAGCACCAAGAGGCCTTAGTGGGCCTGACCGGGTTCCACCCACACTCTCCCTTGACCAGGAGCCCCAGTTAAGCTCAACTCAAGGTTTTCAGTCCTTCTTGAGCTATTGGAGGAGTAACTGGGTCTCCAGCCCAGCCTGTGCTGGGTCATGGACTCCATTTGTTGCCCACACTTGGGTTGGAAGGGATCTTAAAGCCCAGCCCATCCCACCCCCTGCCATGGGCAGGGACACTTTCCACTAGCCCAGGTTGCTCCAAGCTCCATCCAGCCTGGCCTTGGACACTTCCAG